GGGGGGGGGGGGGGGGGGGCGTACTCTTACGTTTTGCATGCCTTAGCGGTTAGACCATTGACCACGCGTCCTCGAGAGGACGGAGCATGGTTCCCACAGGACCGATCACCGATGGCCAATCGTTCCTTCCTAGTTTGCCAAAGGTGGCTCAAAAATGTCTTCCCTAGTCTGTCTATCCCAACGATATCCCTTCCCGCCTTTTCAAACCACTTCCTACTCCCCAGTACAGCTACCGTCCTCTCCTCTCTATTCCATGCCTCAAACATCTCCCTGTACCTCCCTTCTATTCTTCCCAGCTCGGTCATGTACACTTCCCTCTCCTCTTCGTACCACGGACATTCCGCGACTACATGAACACGGTCTTCGCACTCAAAGCCGCAATCACATTTGAACTTGTCGTCTTCGTTGTCTACCGTCCTATGTCTTCGTCGACGTTCTCGAAGGCCTATGTCCCCGGTCCTGAATTTGACCTTAAGTTTTGTCCCTGCATCCATTGGTCAATGTAGGTAGTCCTTGAACGCTATTCCTTCTTTCAACATTCCGTACACTTCTAGACCCTCCTTATCCTTGGTTTTTTTCCTTAGATTCCGTTCTTCTCTCTCGGCACAAGCAACAGATATCTTCTCCTTGAACCCCTGTAGACCCTCCGTTTCCAGCGTTTCATCTTCGTCGATGTCTAACCCCTTCCATACGTCCTCTACAACCTTGACCCATTCCGTGGGTTGTCTACCCCTCTTTTTGTTTGCCCACTTCGCCTCCCATACTATTCTCGGCAACCTCTCCTCTCCCATCCCGCACATGCGATACTGCCATGTCAGCTTCCTTGCGTCTTTTCCCGACCGTAGGGATTGGATCCCCAATTCTGCCCTGACGGCTGCATTACTTGCGCGCTTGGAGCATCCTAGGATGATTTTCGCTGCTTTCATCTGCGCCGCCTCGAGTTTTTTCACTACCTTCTTATTTCCTTCCCATACTTCTCCGGCGTACTCTAGCGGCGGTACGATTACGCTCTTCAAAACCGCCAATTTGATGCGTGTATCGAGGTGCCGGTTTGCGAGTATTGGGTGCAGCTTCCCTGCTCGTGCTTTGCCCTTTTCCGCTACCTTGGACATGTGTGCATTCCACGAGCAGTCGTTTGCGATCTCTACTCCGAGGTATGTGCACTGGTCCACTACTGCAATCTCCTCGATCCCCCACTTCCATCTATGTTCTACTGGTTCCTCCCTGTCCTCGTTGCATACCATGACGGCACTCTTATTAACGTTGGCAGACAATCTCCACTTACCAGTAAACTTTTTCGCCGCGTCAATTTGTAGTCGCAGTCCCTCAGGGGTGTCCGACATACCAACAAAATCATCCGCAAACAGCATTCCTGACACCGAAGTTTCCGTGTCCCCTAATTTTACTCCCTTCCGGACTGCCTCATAGGGAGGGGGGGGGGCGTACTCTTATGCTTTGCATGCCTTAGCGGTTAGACCATTGACCACGCGTCCTCGAGAGGACGGAGCATTGTTCCCACAGCACCGATCACCGATGGCCAATCGTTCCTTCCTAGTTTGCCAAAGGTGGCTCAAAAATGTCTTCCCTAGTCTGTCTATCCTACCGATGTCACTTCCCGCCTTTTCATACCACTTCCTACTCCCCAGTACAGCTACCGTCCTCTCCTCTCTATTCCATGCCTCAAACATCTCCCTGTATGTCCCTTGTATTCTTCCCAGCTCAGTCATGTACACTTCCCTCTCCTTTCCGTACCACGGACATTCCGCGACTACATGAACACTGTCTTCGCATTCGAAGCCGCAATCACATTTGAACTTGTCGTCTTCGTCGTCTACCGTCCTATGTCTTCGTCGACGTTCGCGAAGGCCTATGTCCCCGGTCCTGAATTTGACCTTAAGCTTTGTCCCTGCATCCATTGGTCCATGTAGG